TGATTTAAGAAAATTTTAGTTTGAGAATACTTTTGAAAAGGAATTTCAAGAAGGATAAAGTTATATTTTTTTAATTAAGAACTTGCACTATGCAAGACTGCTCTTCACTCTGAAGAGAAACCGAGTTTTCCGTTTGAAAAATATTGATTGTCAAGAATTCTATACCATTTCTACGAAAAGTGTTTTATCCCATATAAAGTGCATGGCATATTTTCAGCGCTTTGAGCGATCTCTAAATATTATTTGATTTCAAAATAAAAAAGCAGGGGTATATTTTTTCGGCATAGAACATTACTAGGGGGTGAGTGCATAAAAATTCCGACATTACTTTTTCCCACATGCATTTTTGGACCACCCTAGTGTACATAATTCCTTCGTAAAAAAACTGCTCACAACAGTAGCTTGCTCTTCGTTTTTACTATTTTGCTGTCATCCAATTATGCGGCTTGTGGCACTTTTTGTTGCTCAAAAATGGCTATCACGCTGATGAAATTGCCACAACAATTAGCGCGTTAGGATACTTATCTCTGACATAGAAAATCGTAATGCAAAACTAGTTAAGTTTATTAAATTTCGATTGATCTGATTTTGATTGCCCTTGCGGTTGTGCGGGTAAGTTTGTTGGCGCGTGGATTGCACCTGACCAACCAACCGATTGCGGTGCTGCTTTGTCTGCAAGTGACGCAATAAATGGCTAAATTATGTCTTATACAAGGACATGTATACATATGTATGTATGTACATATTTATGAGTAGTGTATGGGGAGAAAACCGCAGCTATGTTATAATTTATTTGAATTTGATTTAGTAAAATCAAGATTAACCATTTGCTCAATGATCTCACTACAGCGTCACAAATTTACATCTGAACTGCTTTAAGGAGGCCGCTAACCTCGCGCAAGCAACAAATGACGAGTTCTACAAAATGCCTAAATTCGCTAAGATGGTTTCTTGAATTCTTTATTTACTGCTATGTGATGCTTTTATTAGCCAACCAGTTCTACCTAAGCTAATCTACTCTTATTCAACTTATTTATAGAATTTTTTTTTGCTAAATTTAGTAACTTATATTATATTGGCATATTGTCACTATTTTACCAGCGTTCATAAAAATTGAAACAAAGTCCTTAAATAAACATACATACATACATACATATGTACATATATTGGTGTTAACGTCATACTTAAATTTATGCAAATTAATATGCGATACATTTGCAAAATGTTCCCCGAAAATTCTAACACATATTTATGGGTTAAAATCTATAAGCGTTCGTCAATATTTTGTGCATTTATTAGCATAATTATGAGCTGTGAAAATTATTGCAAATATCAACTTGCAACTTTAAATTTTTATTTGAAATCACTCAAATGTGTAACTAAATCAGTGAAATTATTTTGTAACACATTGAGTTCAAATCAAATTCAATATTTATTTACACAAATGAAATTCGCATAAGATTTTTTCGTAGTATTTTTCCATATAATAACACACACATACATATGTATATATGTATGTATGTATGCACTTAAAGGAATATACAGAAATATAAATTGAATGCAAATATGTATAAAGGGAATCTATAATAGTAGTGGTATAGGATATATGTATGAATGTAACCAGTACCTATTTTATTTAATTGCAGTATGCATTTGTGGAAATAAAATTATTTATGTATTACTCGTGAAAATATGCCCGAAAATGGATTTTATATTTGATAAAAGCCAGTTGAATGAAATTGTAATTGCCAAAAGTGCAAAATATTCGGATTAAAGTTTAGAACAAGCAGTGAAAAAAAGAATATTTAAGCTATGACGAGACTCTGTCCAGGCCCACGATATGAGGGTCACACAGAAATCTGAAGCGCATTCATCCGAGTTCCGGAAATAAGCGCAATAAATGCTTAGTGAGTTCGCGTTAGTTGTGTCAAGCAGACTGTTTCCGTTACATATCGAGCTCCCATCAAACCAACTGAGGTGGCGTCTTTCTGCCACTATATATGCACATAAGACTGTCACAAGAATATAAGAAAAAAATTGTTTGCAAATATTTATATTATATTTAGCCTATATTTAGCATATATATGAAGTTTTATGGCCGTAGGATAATGATAACCCGTGCCGAATTTGAGTTGAAGTTTAAGGTAATAACTTGAATTAGGGCTACTAAATCTGCCATGAAAACATTAGAAATGAGAAAATTCGATAAACTTTCCATATTTGAACCCATTTCTAGCAAATCTGCATCTTTACATTTTTATTAGGATGACATGATTTCTCCCAAGCACATCAAAAAAAGTGCTGGAAATTACTGGAAAAAGTACATTAAGGGTACTCATATATACGCGCAAGTTTCATATTTGGGCAATTGGGCAACTTTGCGTCATGTGTTTCATGAGGACAATTTTATATTTTGTGCAATTTCTGACATTTAATTATTTCACTTTACTTAATTTATTTTTAATTGAACAAATATTTATGTTTTACCGCAGTTATTTCGAAAAAGCGTTGAGCACAAACCAAAATGAATGTAAACAAAATAGCTGATTGAGGATTGCACAGCACAATGCGCAAAGTTGCGCTAAAAAATTGCCGCGCAAAGGTTTCCTTTTTGTGCAAATGGCTTTCCATACAAATTTTGACATTTCATTTGCGAGGGTTTAAAATTGCACAGTTTGCCCAGTTTGCGAGAGTTTTGCGCTATTAAATGAGTACCCTTATTGGCTTTGTATGTGTGCGAGACGATATGTTTTCTAGCCGAATAATCTGGGCATATCTAGTCTGACGAGCGGATGATCAACATTAAATTATTCCTCCTTAAAAAAAATGTCATTCATAATATTAAATAAACAAATTAAAGTGTTTTAGTGTTTGACATGTCCTCTCGGGGGTTGATTAGGAAACAAATGTGGAAGTATTAATTAAAAAATTTGAAAAATGTCCTTTGAAATTTGTATACTTTACTATCCTTATATATATTCATAGGCTTTAAATTAAACTAGGGTTCTTCAAAATTCAAAAATGCTGAATTAATTTCAAAATTAAAAATGCTGAAGGATGATATTTTTAAAGGTAATTTTTTACATGTTCCAAAAAAATTATAATTAATCGTGTTTTGCATTTTTATCTCAATTAAAACTCATATATCCATATTTTGTGTACAATTTTGGAAATGTATTAAAATTTCTGGTCCTTTGGAAAAAATCCTGACTACCAAGTAAAAAATGGAAAACGCAGACCTACTAAATATTACGTCCTAATACAGTAGGGATTATAGTAATATCGTCTTATACAGAAGTAAGACGAGTAAAAAGCTTATTCTTATAACTTTGACTGCAAGTCGGCACGGGTTAAGGTGGTCCGAATTGCATACAATTTTATGCGGATAGTTTTTAAGACAAAGCCAATAAAATGAGAGGGTATGCGTTAAAAAAAAATACACTTTCGTTTTTTGGGACAGTTTAATGTACATATGTATATCCAGCCTACTTATAATCACACTAAGGGTAACATGCAAACTAACGCTGTTCGACTTTTTTCCAGAAGAGTTTAGAGTTGAGAACTTAATCCCCATATGCACCCCTCTTTCAATTGATTACGATATGTATACGCGTGAATTAGCTCTCGCTCGAGAGTCAAGTTTGAAGGTTTTTACTGATAATCGTCAGTTAATTGCCGAATGTGAGTGAACTTTCCACTACGAAATAGACCTGTATATTTTGAATCCTTTCGTGAGCAGCACTAGTTTAGATATGTAGAGATAAAGCCGAAGTATGTTCCACAAAAGATAGGATAACTGAACCTCACCTGATTGAGACCCAATTTCCGTGAACTTTTCATTAACTGTGTACTTGTTCTAATTTACTTCATACAGAGCAGGGCAAGTTATGGAAGGGCTGAATTCTATACAAATCCAGACTCTCGAAAACTTATAAAATCTACTTCTCGTAGACGTTCACTAAAAACTACAGACAAGACGTAAGCAAGTTAGGCAAAACATTCCAGATAACTTCAAGCGGAAGAGGATGCACGGTCTTCAGAACTTAACCTAGCTCTACTGCAACATACAGCGACAACTTTACTATCGATCAAAGATTAGGAAGAACATTTCACGTGGACATGACTTACTTAGCGGGATTTTTTATCGCTTTAATTGAGCCTCACTAAAGTATGCGTGACTAATGTTATGAACCAAAATACAAAAATAAAAAAAATTTGAAAATAGATTCTTTTTTCTTGAAAGCTCTAAAATTGACACTTGGCGGTGAATTGTAGTTAAAATAAAATAAAAAAGAAATTTACTTACCACTGGTAACATTTTTAGGAATCCCAGCAGGTAAATTATCATTATACTCGACGTGGAGATGCAAAATTGCATTTTTAAAAATGTGATTGCACATTTGCGATTAAACCAAATCGGAAGAAGTATGAGAAACGCCGAACAGGACTGCAGCAGACCACAGGCGCAGCTGATGATCACAAAGAGTGGACGTTGAGTGGGCGAGATGGGTTGAGACTGGAAAGAAAAAGGTTTCAAAATTAATATTTAATAGAAAATCCTTAGCCTTAGTGAATGAAATGATATACAAGCTGAGGGTTTATAATATGATGCACTCCCTACTGAAGATTTCCCAAATTTTCCGCTTCTTTCACATTTATTCTTGGCATTATTTTACTTTGTTTGATTTTATTTTTATTTTCATCATTCCCAATTCGAGATAGCTTTGTGCTTTATTTAATAATTCAGTTTCGGCTTTTGTTTATAAAATAAAATGTTCGGCTTATCGTTTTTCGTTATTGTATCTTTTTCAAGCTGTATATTTTGTCAAGTTGACTATTGTTGTTGCTACTTAAAAATTCATAAAACAAATACAAGTCAAAGTAGGTAGCGGGAGTCGAAATTTAAGGAAGCGGAAATAAGCATTAAAATTTATGAGATTTCTTTCCGGCTACTGCCAAGGCTAAAGACTGAAAAGTGAAAGTGAATGAAGGCCAACTAACTCAGCCAACCAACGAGCCGTTAGTCCGCTTAACCCAGCTAAGCGAGTTGTGGTGTACAGCTGAGTTTACATGCAAGTAATTTTCAGTGAGTTGAATAGTTGAGCAGCTTGAATTTTTTTTTCTTTTTTTTTTTTTTGAGGATAGATAGTAACTGAACTGTGCTAAGCGGCATTGGGAAGTGTTAGTGTGCGGGTGGAAAGCGAAAGGGCTGCTTCTTTTTAGGTTGTTTTGCTGGGGAAAAGTGGAAGTCCCTATCTAAAAAAAAAGAACCTTTAATGCGTCTATGGTAGCATGACTTTAGAGAGCCCAACATTACGTGCTTGGCTTTGCTTGCTGCAAAAGGCTGCTCCAGAGCACTTCATGGGCAAATGTGTGTTGCTGGAACGGAAGTATGTATTGTATAGCTGAAGATGTAACACACATACATATACATGATTTCCATTAGAGTACATAAATCATAAATTATGGCAACGACGAAAGGATTTTATGATTTCACTTTTCAGTTTTTTATTTATTTTATGCAGCTACTTAACGGTAACAATAAAAACAGTAATGCGGTGTTGCGTTTGAAAAATTTGTAGGTTAAAGGCTGATGTTTAGCTTTTGGCGAGGAATTTGATGCTTTCTATAAAGAATGAACTTAGTACATACATTTTTGGTAATTTAAAAGCTGTACATAAATTTGTGTTAAAAAAAAAATCAAGTTTTTAAGTGACCAAACAAATGGGTCTAGTTCTTAAAATTGCAATAAATGTAAGACCAGTTTAATTTGGCTCCCTCTTGCGTGTTTTTGATCTTTCTCCTATTTAGTGGACGAATAAGTGGATCTGAATCCAGAAGTTGTTTTCAAGAGTAAAGTTTTCTCTTTAACAACCAAAACTACGTTTTTTTTTTATTATGAATGTTTATGTTTAAATATCTACCTTTTCAGCATGTTCTTAAAAAATTAAATTGAGTAACTTTTACTAACACACATACCAAGTNGATAAAAACAGTAAAGCGGTGTTGCGTTTGAAAAATTTGTAGGTTAAAGGCTGATGTTTAGCTTTTGGCGAGGAGTTTGATGCTTTCTATAAAGAATGAACTTAGTACATACATTTTTCGTAATTTAAAAGCTGTACATAAATTTGTGTTAAAAAAAAAATCAAGTTTTTAAGTGACCAAACAAATGAGTCTAGTTTTTAAAATTGCAATAAATGTAAGACCAGTTTAAGTTGGCTCCCTCTTGCGTGTTTTTGATCTTTCTCCTATTTAGTGGACGAATAAGTGAATCTGAATCCAGAAGTTGTTTTCAAGAGTAAAGTTTTCTCTTTAACAACCAAAACTACGTTTTTTTTTTATTATGAATGTTTATGTTTAAATATCTACCTTTTCAGCATGTTCTTAAAAAATTAAATTGAGTAACTTTTACTAACACACATACCAAGTACTTATATATGTACATATGTATGTATGAACATAGCAACCACTTTGTGGTACTTTAGCTTGCACACAAAGAGTCTAGGTAAAAGAATTGTGGCTAAGAGCAAAAGTAACAACCGGAAGATACCAGGAAGCANTGAACATGGCAACTACTTTGTGGTACTTTAGCTTGCACACAAAGAGTCTAGGTAAAAGAATTGTGGCTAAGAGCAAAAGTAACAACCGGAAGATACCAGGAAGCAGCTGGGCTGTTGTAAAAAGTGCTGTGTGGCTGCAAGAGCGAAGCAGTGCACCACAAGCCCGTTGTTATATTACCATAATTTCAGCTCACGCTTTCTTTCTTTGGTTTTTACCGTTTTTTTTTTTTTTATTTGCTTTTAGGTCTGCCTTACCTTCACCTTTAACCTCAAATTTTTTGCATTTATCCTTTCCTCTCTTCACATTTGCTGTTTCGCTACGCATATGCCCTGTCTATGGCGTAGTGAGCTGCATATATACATACATATGTATGTGCATACATACATACCCTGCAGAAAACATTATCAATTGATTAAAATAACCAACTTCTAGTTAGCTTTTTGCGGGAGTTCGATAAGTAACTAACTTTTAATTAGCTATGACAAAACTAACTTTAAGTTAGTTGTAAAGTCGTTGAAAGTCATGCAGACGTTGTCGGGAGTTTATTTTCTTTACAATTTTCAATTTAAATATCCTCACAAAAATTACTTAACTTCACACAAATATTTTGTATTCCTAATTGATATTTTATGTCCAAAAGTAGTTAGCTACATACATATTTATTAGTTGACATCTAATGGAGAGGAAACCAGTTCTCACTAGTTTGCGGCCATCGCCCTTCAATAGTAGTTAGTTACGGCCAAAGGAAATAATTAATAAATAGTTACCACTAGTCGAATGCTAGTTAGTTAATAATTTGCTATAAACTAGTCCCATTTCCTGCAGGGTACATATACATATTGGTAGGTTTCTATGCATATATGTTTTAAGTCAGCGTAAGTGGCTTTTTTAAGCCATTATTAGGCCGCCTCTATACTTTACTAAAAAAAAAAA